CTCAGTGAGGTTCCCTGAATAGTCCCATCACAAAACAGCTGTAGCATGTCACCAATCACATTCCTTCTTATATCTTAATTTTGTATGCATGGCTTCATCTCGTTGCCAAGTGGTATGTTACTTTGGAGCAAAGTCCACCTCATATTCACTTCTGTATCGCCCAGAACACCTCACAACAGGTACACAGTACCATGATGCAAAAATTATGAGAAAAAACTTTGAAGTCAGATAGGCCTGCATTCAAATATCTGTGTGCCCTTAGATGAGTTTTTTAACTTTGCTAAGCTTTTTGCCCTGTGCTGTAAATGGGGTATTAATTCCTATTTTATTACAATTGTTATGAAGAGAAAATAAAAATTAAAATGTGGCATAGTACTGGAATTATCACTAGTACTAAACGCTTTCTAAATGAATCAGTGGACCAAGATATTAATCAAGTGTGAATGACTTATAAAACCCCATTTACAGATTTTTTTTGCTAATTGGAAGCCTTTATTTACCTAATCACAGTAGTAAAATAGTGTTTTCCCCTTTACTGTTTCACAGCCAGGACTTGGGTACAAGTCTGCATTATATCTCGGTTTCTCCCATGGAGGTTTGAGTTAGGCAGATGGTTTCATATCCTCTCTTCTGCCTAAGGAAGGAAAGTATGCAGTGAAGTCCATGGCCAAGAAACTGAGATCTTGAGGCTGAAGTAGTTGGAAACAATTATTTATATGGGTTGACTTATACCCTTTATTAGGAAAATTCAAAATTAATAATGTTTTGATGACCTTAAAAGCATTTAATTTCAATAACTAAATCCTAGCAAAGGAAAAGATCTTAATACAAGTGTTAGATCCTCTCTGTTATAAACATCATTGAGTTGAAATTAATGAAATATATTAAACAAACTAAACTGTAAGCCTCAGTTCTATTTAGGGATCAAAAAGTGTCCCCTCTTTTTCTAATCACACATAGACACACTTTCTTCTCAGTTTTATCCCTGTATTCTTTTAATGCAGATCACGGCTAAAGTCATATTGGGTGACTATGGGGTACTTATCCAATATCCCATATCTACTGTCAATTTAAAACACACCCTTCAGCTGGGTGTACTAATCCTGTAGCATTTATTTCTAATATCTTATGTAATGTTTTTTCTACTCCCTTAAGCTCTGAGTAGTTACACCATTAATATATGTGATGGTATCAGGGAGTTAGATAGAGAAGAGTATGGGTTCCATGTATCTTAAATGTGGATTAAAATCCATTTTTTTCCCACACCTGGTTTCTCTAAGATTAACTTCACTTCTTCTGAGGCTTTACATGGCCTCAGAAGTTGCTCATTCTAGAGCAACTCAGAAATTGACAGATTAATCACTCCGTGGGCTTTTTAAATGTTGCTGATTCTTCTCAGTGAAAGTCAACTCCTTATTCTGCATAATGTATTTGCTGAGCTCAGGAATTAACACCTGATTTGTTCAAGTTATATTTATATAACCTCCTCTTTGGTTCAAATGAAAAGATTGCCAAATTGTGGGAATGGACTACAGGGAATAGAAGGCAATCTAAATTATCTGATAGTGCCTGTAATGCAGAATTATTACTCCTTGCCCTCCTATCCCTCCAATTACCACAAACATTAAGATATAATGAATACACACAAGTTATAACAATAAAAAGCATTAAAAACAAAAATTAAAGCCAAAAGCAATAATCAGCTAAGGAGAAACAATGATTGAGTTTTGGGACTTCTCTGGTGGTGCAGTGGTAGAGAATCTGCCTTCCAATGCAAGGGATGCGGGTTCAATCCCTGGTCAGAAAACTAAGATCCCACATGCTGCTGGGCAACTAAGCCCTGTGCCACAACTACTGAGCTCGTGCACCACAATGGAATGCTGCAACTAAGACCCGACGCAGCCAAAAAAAATAATAAATAAATAAATATTTTTTAAAAATGATTGAGTTTCCTGTTATTATTTTGCAACCAATGGTCAATGAAAATCTTCAAGTTTCTTTCTTGATGTGTAATTTATTATGCTAGCTTCAGTTTCACACAAATTATCAATGTTAAGTAATATTTATAAAACAAATGTGTCAAGTTAAAAGAGAAGACTTTGTATCAGAACATATAACTGATAGGGATATGCCAGTTCCATTACCCTTGGTGCTGCTCTGTGTGAAATTAGAGTGGTAAATTTTGCACTATATCAGTTTTAAATCATCAAATACAAATTAATTTAAAAATATAATCTCTATTAAACATAGTGTTGCACCTATTCATTTTAACAAAAACTAACAGAAACAAATGCTAATATTTCTCCTAAAATGGCTGGTTTTGAGCCCACTCAAGTTTTTCTAAAACAAAAACACTGAAGAAGAAATTCAGTAGTACAAGTCTTGGGACAAACTTCATCACTACCACCTCCCCTTTTACAAAAGGAGCTCCTGACTTCTAAGTTTCAGCTAACACTAAAGCTCTCTGTTAACACAATTCTACAGCTTAAAAACACTACGTTTAGAGCTTCCCTGGTGGCGCAGTGGTTGAGAGTCCACCTGCCCATGCAGGGGACACGGGTTCGTGCCCTGGTCCGGGAGGATCCCACATGCTGTGGAGCGGCTGGGCCCGTGAGCCATGGCCGCTGAGCCTGCGCGTCCGGAGCCTGTGCTCCGCAACAGGAGATGCCACAACAGTGACAGGCCCACGTACCGCAAAAAAAAAAATAAATAAATAAAACACCACGTTTACACTCAAGGGGGATTTATAAATACCAATTTTTCATGAGTGCCACAACAGTGACAGGCCCACGTACCGCAAAAAAATAAATAAATAAATAAAACACCACGTTTACACTCAAGGGGGATTTATAAATACCAATTTTTCATGAGTGTGCAAACAGGTATGTTAATGTCATGGCAACCAAAAATGTATCGAGTTAAATACTTTGCTGGTAAATGACCTAGTGATTTTTCAAATACTATCTTTTTACACATCTGAGATAAACAGGCTGAGGAGTATTCTGTATAATAAAACAAATGTTAATGCCTGTAAATGGTTTAATAGTGACCTTCTGAGAGGTTTTCACAATTCTAAGATTGAATTGTGAAACACCAGTAGCTATACCAAACCATAGTGAATCCCACCCAAAATGACCTAGATGCTCCAGAAATAAGAATGCAATGAAAACCAGTGGGAAAAAGAAAATCTTAAATTGCAGCCACGGAAAGAATTAAATCACATCCTAAAAGAAGTAAACCCACAAATTATTTTCTTAGAGAAAATAGCCAGAACAAGGGACGAGAATATGCAATATAGGTAGGCCACCATCTTGCAGGAAAGAAACAATATTCTAGAAAGTGTGTCTTATTTTCTAACTTTCAGGACCAAATTAACTTTATTTTGTCATATTTTAATATAATGTAAAATTTCTCTGAGAATTTTATTTATGGAATTGTGAATGACATTCAATACTCTTGAAAGTAATTATAACTATAGGTCCAGCTAAATGGCTTTCAAAACAAAACATGATCACTCTAAAACACACAAACATATATGGTACCCTATACAGCACAATTTTCAGGGAACCAAAAATTAATGCAGATTTAAGAGGCATCACTGAGGCAGGAAAAGCAAAAGCTTAGAACATATTTTTCACCAAAAAAGAACATTTGAAAATGCCTGTATGGGTTGGCCAGCCAACCAAAATCTACTTTTAAAATTACTTTTTTTAGGAAAATGATTCTACACAAATTATATTGATTCCTTGACTACTAACACCTCAAACCTGAACCTTGGGGCTTTAGAAACACAAGGCATCAAAGCGTGTTTGCCCCATGGTTTTGTGCCTTTGTTCTTTTATAATCTCTTGTAATCTCCTACTTGTAAGTGCTCTCTCTTAGCATCAGTATGGGTATAGAGTTGGCAGAGAAACCTTATGGCCAAATTGTTCTTAGCCAAAATACAATGTTATTTTATGCAGTCCTAGAGAACTGGTTATAGGATCACAAATGGTGAACAGAAATATACTAATTGTTAAGGAAGTTTCTCCATTTCAGAGTGCTCATCCAGGAAACCATAAATACTTACCTCAGGAAGTGCTTCATTGTGCCTGTTTTGATTACCCAGGTGTTATACAAATGGTCCTCAAGTAATTGCTTCCAAATTTGCCTTTGTCAAAGTAAATGTAAGCTGTGGAAGAAATTAGATATATTTACTGTTAATGGAGCTGGAAATCCCAACCTCCAAATTTCTGCTTACCTTAGTAAGCAGATAAGGTGCTATGCACCCAGAACTTTACCAGCTGAACTGCCCACACAGCAATACAATTCAATGGATGGCAATTATAGCTAAAGCCTTTCACTTTATAATTACACAATTAGTCTCTTATTTTAAGTCACTTGCTGGAGAAATTGTTAGTTTCACGAGCAATCCCTTCAATAGTAAACTTTTCCTCTATTTTGGGTACTGTTCCTATATTTTGAAGAACAGTATTTGTATGAAAGATAAAAATGAAGAACCATTAAATTAACTATCCTGATTTCCAGATAGCAAATGTTCTTAAATCTGGCAGCCTCAACCTTCCAGAAGTACAACTCAAAAAATAGCTAAAAGCAACTGGTAATGTCTCTAAGCTAAAAAATAGCTGATAAAGAGCAAGTACTCCAAACAAATGAATGATATGCCCACGGCCCCATTTTGGGGGGCTCTGTGAATAAAACAGTGAAATTATATAATTGTTTAGCACATTTCAGTTTACAATATACTTTCACAAAATCCACTATATCAAGTTATTGGTCTTCCAACAAGGAAGGACACCAGAAGCTGCCTACAAAGCAGCAAATTAGTATGAGATGTGAAGAAACAGACTAGAGAAGAGAGAGTGGCTGGAAGAAATAGCAGAATGAAGTTACCTCATGAGAGAGAGACAAACGGAACACTAGCTGCAACAACAAGGTAAGGTACTAAATGTGTGGACAATGGCTCACGGCAGAGACACAATTACCCGCTAGAACAGCCCAGGGAATACGGAAACTTGGCCTAAACAAAAGCCAGTCTTTTTGCTTTTTTAAAAAATTGAGGTATAGATGATTTACAATATTACATAAGTTTCAGAGGTACAACATAGTGATTCACAATTTTTAAAGGTTGTACTCCATTTATACTTACTGTAAAATATTGGATATATTCCCTGTTCTATACAATATATCCTTGTAGCTTATTTATTATATATATAGTAGTTTGTATCTCTTAATCCCCTACTTGTCTCTTGCCCCTCCCCCATCCCTCACCCCACTGGTAACCACTAGCTTGTTCTCTATATCTGTGAGTCTGTTTCTTTTTGCTATACTTACTAGTTTTTTTTTTAGCTTCCATATATAAGTGATATCATGCATTATGTTATTCTCTGACTTATTTCACTTAGCATAATACCCTTCAAGTCCATCCATGTTGTTGCAAATAGCAAAGTCTTTTTCTTTTTTATGGCTGAGTAGTATTCCATTGTGTATATATACCACATCCTTTTTACCCACTCATCTGTTGATGGACTCTTTAGTTGCTTCCATATCTTGGCAACTGTAAATAATGCTGCTACGCTATTGGGGTGCATGTAACTTTTAATGTTTTCATTTTTGGGGGGAAACATACCCAGGAGTGGAATTGCTGGCTTATATGGTAGTAATATTTTTTTGAGAAAGGGCTATACTGTTTTCCACACTGGCTACACCAATTTACATTCCCAACAGTGGACAAGATTTATTTTTTTTCCACACTCTCACAAGCATTTATTGTTTGTCAACTTTTTGATGATGGCCATTCTGACCAATCTGAGGTGATACCTCATTGTAGTTTTGTATTTCATTAATAATTAGTGATGTTGAGCATCTTTTCATGTGTTTTTCGGACATCTGTCGGTCTTCTACAGAGAAATGTCTATTTAGATCTTCTGCCCATTTTTGATTGGGCCATCTGTTTTTTTGATATTGAGCTGCATGAGCATATTTTGGAGATTAATCCCTTGTCAGTCGCTTCATTTGCAAATATTTTCTCCAGTTCTGTGGGTTTTTTGATTTTGTTTATGCTTTCCTTTGCTGTGCAAAGTTAGTTCCCCATTTTTTAAATTTTGTTTTTATTTTCATTATTCTAGGAGGTGGATACAAAAAGATATTGCTGCAATTTATGTCATAAAGTGTTTTGCCTATGTTTTCCTCTAAGAGTTTTATAGTATCTGGACTTACATTTAGGTATGGTATTTAATCCATTTTGAGTTTATTTTTGTGTATGGTGTTAGAGAATGTCCTAACATTCTTTTTCATTCTTTTGCATGTAGCTGTCTGGTTTTCCCAGCACCACTTATTGAAGAGGCTGCCTTTTCTCCACTATATATTCTTAGCTCCTTTGTCAATAGATTAATTGACCATAGGTGAGTGGGTTTATTTCTGGGCTTTCTATCCTGTTCCATTGATCTACATTTCTGTTTTTCTGCCAGTACCATACTGTCTTGATGACTGTAGCTTTGTAGTATAGTCTGAAGTCAGGGAGCCTGATTCTCCAGCTCTGTTTTTCTTTCTCAAGATTGCTTTGGCTATTTGGGGTCTTTTGTGTTTCCCTGTAAATAAAAAATTTTTTTGTTCCAGTCCTGTGAAAAATGCCATTGGTAATTTAATAGGGATTGCATTAAATCTGTAGATTGCCTTGGGTAGTATAGTCATTTTGATGATATTCATTCTTCCAATCCAAGAACATGGTATGTCTTTCCATCTGTTTGTGTCATGTTTGATTTCTTTTTTTTAATTAATTAATTTATTTTTGACTGTTTTGGGTCTTTGTTGCTGTGCACAGGCTTTCCCTAGTTGTGGCAAGTGGGGGCTACTCTTTGTGGTAACGGGTTTCTCATTGTGGTGGCTTTTCTTGCTGCAGAGCACAGGCTTTAAGCACGCGGGCTTCAGTAGTTGTGGCACACAAGCTCAGTAGTTGTGGCTTGTGGGCTTAGTTGCTCCATGGACTGTGGGATCTTCCCAGACCAGGGATCAAACCGATGTTCCCTGCATTGGCCACCGCGCTACCAGGGAAGTCCTCATCTTCAATTTCTTTCATCAGCGTCTTATAGTTTTCAGAGTACAGGCCTTTTGCCTCCTTAGGTAGATTTATATCTAGGTATTTTATTCTTTTTGATGTGATGGTAAATGGGATTGTTTCCTTCATTTCTTTTTCTGATGTTTCATTGTTAGTGTATAGAAATGCAACAGATTTCTGTGTATTAAGTTTGTATTCTGCAAATTTACCGAATTCATTCATGAGCTGTAGTAGTTTTCTGGTAGCATCTTTAGGATTTTCTATGTATAATATCATGTCATCTGCAAACCAAGTTGGCTTTACTTCTTTTCCAATTTGGATTCCTTTTTTTTTTTTCTTCTCTGATTGCCCTGGCTTGGACTTCTAAAACTATGTTGAATAAAAGTAGTGAGAGTGGACATCCTTGTCTTGTTCCTGATCTTAGAGGAAATACTTTCAGCTTTTCACTGTTGAGTATGATGTTAGCTGTGGGTTTGTCACATATAGTCTTTATTATGTTATGTTATAATAAAGGTATGTTCCCTATATGCCCACTTTCTGGAGAGTTTTTATCATAAATGGGTGTTGAATATATACTGTTCATCTCTGTTTGTTTGTTCTTTAAAGCTTCTAGCTCTTTATTAAACTTTTCTTGTATCCTTTCAGTCTGTGCCTCCATTCCTTTTTCGAGATCTTGGATCATCTTTACTATCATTACTCTGAATTCTTTTTCAGGTAGATTGCATATCTCTACTTCACTTAGCTGTTCTTCTGAGGTTTTATCTTGTTCCTTCATTGGGAATATCTTTCTCTGCCATTTCATTTTGTCTAACTTTCTCTGTGGTCTCTGTTCCTCAGGCTGCAGGAATGTAGTTCCTTTTTCTTTTGGTGTCTGCCCCCTGGTGAGTGGCACTGGTCTAGAAGGTGTGCAGGCTTCCTGGTGGAAGGAACTGGTGCCTGCCCACTGGTGGGTGGAGCTGGGTCTTATCCCTTTGGTGGGAAGGGCTGTGTCAAGGGGTGTGTTTAGAGCTGGCAGTGGGCTCAGAATGACTTTAGGCAGCCTGTCTGCTGATGGGTGGGGCTGTGTTCCCACCCTGTTGGTTGTTTGGCCTGAGCATCCCAGTACTGGAGCCTGCAGGCTGTTGCATGGGGCCAGATCTCATGCCAAAATGGTGTCCTCCAGGAGAGCTCACACCAATGAATATTCCCTGGGGCCACTACCACCAGTACCCTCGCCCCCACTGTGAGCTATGACCACTCCCCATCTGCCAGAACACCCTCCAAGAAATGCAGATAGGTCTGGCCCAGGCTTCTATGGAGTCACTGCTTTGCCCTGGGTCCCAATGCATGTGAAACCTTGTGTGTGACCTCCAAGAGTGGAGTCTCTGTTTCCCCCAGTTCTGTGGAGCTCCTGCATTCAAGCTCCACTGGCCTTCAACATCAGATGTTTTGGAGGCTCCTCCACCTGATGCCAGACCCCCAGGGTGAGGAGCATAATATGGGGCTCACAACCCTCACTCCTGTGGGAAAACCTCTGCAATATAATTATTTTCTAGTTTGTGGGTCACTCATCTAGCAGGTATGGGATTTGATTATATTGCAAAAGCACCCCTCCTATCATCTCGTTGTGGCTTATTTGTCTTTGGGTGTAGAATATCTTTTTTGGTAGGTTCAAGTCTTTTTTGTTGATGGTTGTTCAGCAGTTAGTTGTGAATTTGTTTTTTTCATGAGAGGAGATGAGCTCAATTTCTTCTGCTCTGCCATCTTGTCTCTTGCTCCTCTCAATCATATAGTTTTTATTCTTCAATTTGTTAATGTGTTATATCACATTGATTGGTTTGTGGATACTGAACCATCCTTGCATCCCTGGGATAAATTCCACTTGAGTATGATAAATGATCCTTTTAGTGTACTGTTGGATTCAATTTGCTAATATTTTGTTGAGGTTTTTGCATCTATGTTCATCAGTGATATTGGCCTGTAATTTTCTTTTTGTGTGATATCTTTGTCTAGTTTTGGTATCAGAGTGATGCTGGCCTCATCAAATGAGTACAGAAGCATTTTTTCCTCTGCAATTTTTTGGAATAGTTTGAGAAGGATAGGTGTCAACTCTTCTCTAAATGTTTGGTAGAATTCAC